TCGATAACAAAGAACCTTGCATCTTTTAATTGAAAAAGTTGTACCTGATGTTTCAGTTACTAAATATTTATTAAATTATTATACATACTTTGAAATATGATAAAGTAACAGTATCAAATCATTATATTTCTTAGAAAATATGTATCTTAATTTACCACTTCTATCGTAATAGTCCATTTTAATAAAAATATTTTTGAAAAACTAAAAAATTTGTTGTTTGTTTAAAGACACGAAGTATTATCACTCTCATTTGCAAAAATATATCTACTTCGTTATTAAAGAGAAACAATAATTACATCAGTTTGTATTCGTTTCTTCTCTCCATGGACCATGAACGTGATTTCAAACTACTGAACGATGACGTACATGAATTATAGTAATTTTCACTAATTATTTATTCCACAGACACTTACAACAAAATCGTTGTTTACTGTTAGATTAGTATCTAATCTAAATATCTCCACCTTTAAACATGCCAAAATATTATTCGTATTATTTTCCTCATTGGAAAGAAGGATACATTACTATTATCTGTTACGAATTTCACTCGATATTTTTTGTTAACTTTATATTACTACCGCACAATATTTATGCGATATTACGCATTGTATAACGTTTTAATAGGAATCAGCACATTATGCGTGTTATTTATGAAATCTTCCCCTGAACCGAAAGTACCTAAGTTTGGTCTAGAATATCTTCATAGACTAAGATATGGCTACACGGTCTGATGAATCAGCAGTTGCTTCCATTGAGCAACAGCATTTCCATCACGGTCTGCTGAATTTTCGAGCATAAAGTAGCAAGTTCAATCAATGTCCCGTGTATGTAATAGCATGAACATTTATAAAAGTTCATCGAATCTTTCGACTTTAAACGCAGTTTGATATTGACAAGATCAAATTATGTAAATGTCAATTTGTTCTGTAGTTAGCTGACAAATTAGAGAGTACCATTAGTTACCATCGATCTGTTCAGTCGCGCTCTGATTGATCAGTTGTCGAAGAGTAATTTCACAGCTTATCGTTCTCTAAAATTATATTTTTACTCAAAGAGTAACTCGTACTTCAAAATCAGGCCGATTTGAATGGCGAGTCTCTCGTCTCGTATGTGCATAATTAGTGTTACTGGTTTAATCGAATTTATAATAAAATAATAGGCAGTATCATTAGCAACAGCTCTGTTAAACATTCAGTGTAATTACCATTTAATTATATTTAATTATTATCAAAGAGAACTAGAATACAAATTAAACTTAAATTTAATTTTCAAATGTAATTGCTTGTATGTCATTACTTGACTTCATTGAGCATGTACAAATCAAACGAAAATCATGAACAGTTGCAAAACTATAGTAAAGCGCAACGCACGGTATGTTTTGCAAGAAATATGGGAAAAAATTTATCTTTTTGATGTCACATACGATTTTGTAATGATTTATTATCAAAATTACAGAAATAATTTAACGTATTAAATGTATCGTAGGATGCCAAAAACATTTTTTAATTTTTCGTCCAGCTTCCGAAATTAATATGTATATATTCTTTATTTTTATCGAAGGAATATCGGTTCTGCGTGAACGACGTGAGATGCTGAAAGAGCGAACAAAATAAAACAAACAAAGATAGTAAAGATGTAAAAAAATAATATGAGAATAACGCAATTTTAACGCATAAAAACAAGCTTCTTCTCGTCTTATCTCTCCGATACCGAACGACATACGTCCGAACCGGTCACAAATTATATTCGCGAGGATTCTTTAGGACTCTCAACTCAGGGTCCTCGTTGTATCGCCCTTTTATGTCTTTTCAGGAGCTCGATGACATGTTTTAATTAATCGTTAATTGGCTTATACGATTGAGCCGATTAACGATCCGTCCTCGCGAAAATTTGTACTTTATGTGGACTTTTTTCTGGACATGTCCAATACATACAGATTGTTTAGTGAGTGGTCTGCAGTGTGTGTGATACTCGATGTGTACACAAGTGCCTTTATGGACATTTGGACTTGCGTTCAAATCTTTTGTAATGGTTTAATGTACGTGTGGGACATTTTGCGCGTATTCATCGTACATTATTTATGTGAACATTTATTATACTTAAAAACTATCGAATTAACGCTAGAATTACCGCACCAGTAAATATGACTGATGGGTTTGATTAAAACCCACGCCCCTGTTCGTGTAACAGTATATCTAATAAACAACATATTATTTCAATTAGTGTGAGATGAGAAAAATGAGTACAAATATAAATATTTTATAATGATTAGTTTCATTTTATAGTTTTATTTATAAGTCCTTTATATTTTACTTTTGTTTTATAAGCCCCGAAAGTGACAAAACGATTGAAAGCTTCTGAATTATTGCAAAAACTGAACGATATATCAATGGAAGGCTCTGATATTGAGAATGATAAACTCTATGCCTGTGAAGGTGAACCAGAAGAAAATGAAATTGAACTGTGGGGTACTCGCGATGAACCTTTTGGCAGCGAGAATGAGATTTTAGACAAAGAAAATGTTCAAAAGTTCTCAGAAAGTAAATTTGAAAATATTTTGAATATACGTAAAAGAAGATGTGCTCGAGTGTTTTTAAGTTCTGAAGATGAAAACGTCACTGAATATATAAAACCAGAGATGGATTCACGAGCGAATCTCTTTGTTTACGTAAACGGTGTCAAATAGGGTACTGGAACACTAATAAGGCTACCACCATTTGTAATTAAATTCAAATTTTTTATATAATTTAGGTAAAGGAAACAAGTACATAGCTAATCTTGGTTGATTTCTAGCGATGACATTGCTTTCCCACTTGTTTCGCAGTGCTAGATACATTGATGCTTCTTAAGCTATGTATGTAGATATCTCCGTTGACACTTCGAATGTCCATAATTAAAAAATACAATTTTTCGAGTTTTTTCGTTCTTAATTTACTTTTTAAGGCAAATTGTAAAAACATACCTTGAAATTGAACACATTGGTTGCTCGATGTACTGTATATTAATTATATTTCTTTTTTTTTAATTTATATGGGTAAGAGAAATGATGTTTCTTGTTCATTTTCCAGTTAAGTTTTCTATCTGTAAAATATATGACTATATTTCTGACATTTAAAAAGTATATTCATTATAAAATATAACGAGGCTCACTAATATTTCTATTGACTGCCTCTGTGAGCATATCTATCCTTCATAATTAATAAACAGTTGAAACTCTGTGTTGAAAAGTTTCAGCAGTCGCTTAAATTAAACTCGTAACAAATTTAAATCAAATTTATAACTTTGTGAAATATAATTAAACTGCGATATGAAATATTAGATTATCGTAGAAACAAAATAACGTGAGTTTATCGTGATAATGAAATTTATAGTTTAGATTATTTATAAATTAATAGTAGAACATAAAGTGGTAATGCAAATAGTATAAATGGCATAATAGCAAAAGGATAATGTAAATGCGATAGTGGAATGTAATGTGATAATTTTATTGAGAGGAATATTGCAATTTGAGATAAGGAATGTTGTACGATGTTTCAGTGTATAAAAATAAAGAAGTCGGATTAATTGATGTTTCTTACAATTAACGGTTCGTAATTTACGTATGTATTGGTATTTAAACTCTTAAAGTGCAATAGAATTTTTCTAAGAGGTTTTGAATTTAGTAGAAGTAGGTCAGTTTGTACGGATATTTAAAATGGAAACGTCACCTTTTACATTTTAAAGATATTTTAATAAAAAATATGAAACGCATAGGACATAGAACTAATTTTGATAGAAAAATTTGTAATGACGAATGTCTAAAATTACTTTGAGTATAAATGTATATCATTTCTTACCCAAAGAATGATACGAAACGGCAGTATACGTTTTTATTCTAAAGTGTCGTTAAAATTTTAACGAATTTGCACTAATGCACGAAAAATTACTTGCAAAATTCAACCGACTTTAAGGAGAAGAAAAGAAAAATTATGCGCAAAAAGAATAAAGAAAAATCAAAGAGAAACGGCTATTATTATATGTTTTATTGTATATTAATATCATTGTGTACTTAAATTATAAATAAATTGTTCGAAGATGGTAGTGTGATATCAAATGATTAAGAGAATGCCTAAAGCAGAGGTATAGCGTTAGGGCTAATAGGGGGTAACTAAACGTCGATACTTCGCGACCTTGGATATTGCACACTACGTGCTTCTAAGGTGTACTAGAAGGTCTACCCAATTGCTTAGGAAACTGAAGTTTAATTGTCAAAATTTGAGCGTTCCGAAATAGCTTGAATAACACTTCTTGTATTCCAATTTGGGGTATGCTATTGACGAAACTCCTGAATCTGATTGTTCTGGTGCGAGTTAATCGAGTGGAACTGAATCTTCATTGAGAATGAAATTCAACTCACTGCGTCCGCCACTTATGGACAATAGTCCTAACTGAATGAATGATTTGAACTGAATCCCAAACTGATTCTTTTGGTGAAACCTTACTATTCTCTGCGTCTGAATAATCTATTCAGGCTAAATGCCTCAATCTTCTTCAATATAATTATTCAATAAGTGAGTACTTATGTGTAATATTTTATCTTTTCTGGAGTACATATAAAAGGTTTCTGAAAACTTTCAGAGTAAATTACACTTAGGCGAACAATTGACTACTATTTTTTTTATCTTCCGGATGTTGGTCTAAATCTGCTACTGTAATCTTTCGAGCATACTTGAATTTCTGATGCTGAAGGAGAAATGAGTAATCTTAAAAGTTTATATCGGTGACTTTTTTGACTCGAGCTATCATATTAACAGCAAGCAGTATGTAGTATAGGGATATATCATATAAGAATAGAATTTCGGATGAAATTATGAAAGCAGCATGCCTAACTACCTAATTAATTAACTAAAAATACTCCGGTAATATGTTGTATTTGTAATAGCACGTCCTAGTACGTGATGTTTTCAGTTTTGAGCATTTGAAATAATCACTTTATAATCTCGAAAATTTTATTGCTCTAGGCACTTCTCAGAGGAGCTTTAACTCAACAAAGTGCCGTTATCCTCGTCTGTATGGCAATTGATCGTTACGTTTGTATGCTGCATCCACATCATTATCACAAACACACATCTAAGAAGGTATGTTCTTTAAATCATTTTCTTATTATTTCTAACGTTCTTAAATATGCATGTGAGATATTCTTTACTTTCTAACCTCCAAATTCTTCCTGTCATATGCATTAATATCTTAATACTTTCAACAACTAGTTTTACGTGTATCGTTGAATAATTATTGGTCACTTCTATTAAGAATTAAAGAAAACCATTTTTGTTTTATGATATATGTGTAAAACAACTTAACAATACTAAATACTTGAGAAGTTAGTAGATCTAACTATTACAACGTGTCCTTTTTATCTGGAATTGAGTAAATATCTTGAAGAATACGTGATATAAAAAAATGTTGTAGATGAACATTGTAGGATACAAAGGGGAGCATATAACTGACCTTGTCACGACTTTGAAGAACTGTATCTAGGCTATGCTTACATTTTTAAATAAGAACTTATATTTTTACAACACTCTTGTACCTGACTTTGCGATATTTGTAAAACTCTTGCCTGCATTTTCTGCATAAATCATTGTCGGGAATTTTTTCATTTCGGGAACACGTTGTCGAGATATTGCATTATCGAGTGCAAAAAAAATGATGATATTATAATTTTCAGATATTTAATCTGAAAATTGATATTTCCATAATTTATATCTGGTGTAAAAAAACTAACACAAATAATTATACTTTTAAAAATTACCAGAATCTGCAATAAAGAATATAAATTTCTGTCGAGAAATTGAAATATGACATCCATAAGATTTTCCAACTTTTTCGCAACACTAAACAAATATCAATATGACGTGTTTTCTTTGATGTCATATATATATATTTAAAATATTTTCTAGATTACATATTTTTTGCGATATTTACACATTTCCAGATAAAACGGACGCACAGTATATGCAAATGATTTCTGTATAACGTAAGTAAAATGTGGGATAACAGTTAGGGATACAAAATTATAGCCCTAAAAACGACTTTTTGAAAAAATAATTTATCTATTTTTTTACGAAAATATATGTTTACTTATTTTGACCACGTATGCGTATCAAAATCTGTATTACACAATGAAAAATTTTGTTAAAGTTAAAAATTGAGGAAGATTAAATTTATATTTATGCAAGTACTTAAGTGTGTATGAATATTGCATATTATGTAAAAGTTGCGCGCAATTTATGAATTGTGTTATAACCAAATCACGTTTTATAATTACCGTGCAAAACAAAAGTTAACTGCATGTACAGTATTGGTATCTAGAAACGATAAGAACATTTTTTACATCTCGAATTACTGGTATTATTTGAGGACCGAAGCCTATGAAACATGTGGTTTCATTATGAATTTGAAAAAATGTTTCTCCGTCTATTTTAGAAAATAGAAATACTAGAAAAAGTGTGTCAAACAAGAGTTATGCACTATTTTATAATAAAATTAAAAACTAAAAATCTAGGGTAATGCTAAATGAAAAAAAGCTAGTTGAAGACGCTCACGCCTTGCCAGTCTCATTTGAATCTCTGTTCCAAATATTTTTTATTATTTTTTTTTTGTGAACTAGTTGTCCATGAATTTTTTCGCCGTGTCAACTTAAATTTCTAATCTATAAACGAATAATACACGTGAAAAATTGTGTAAGATAATGCGAATATGTGTATCAAAATTTAAATAACCTCGACAAGCTAAAGAGTCGCAAGGAAATTAGAAACGACAAATTTTTAATAAAAAAGATAAGAAAATTTTTAAATATCTAACCAAATAAACTTTATTCTTGAATTCTTTGATATTATGAGTCAAGAGTATATGCGCATAACTTATTTCTGTCAAAATTTATATTAACTTAACCTAGGTGTAGTGCTTTGTAGTTCCGTTATTATGCACGTCTGTAATCATTTGCATTGTTCACATCCCTCAGCCTTGCACGCCATGCTTGTATCTAGTCTCGATATTCACGCTTAACCCTTTGCACTCGAAAGGCGACTCTCCGTCGCCATTTAATCAAATTCTAAAGATCGTTGTTCATTAATATCTCGAATTTGAAATTGCCCAATGACGTGTGGAGATAAAATAATTCTACGTCTTACAATTAATTTGTACTTCTTATTTACCGTTTTGAAAATACCGTCGACTTTATGACAGAAAATTTTCGAATTACTATGTTTCTGTAACGAAAAGATCGCCGAGTGCAAAGGGTTAAGTCGCTCGTATTTCAGAAATAAAATGTATAAAAATTGATAATATATTAAATACGAAAAACGAGAATTTATAACGATTCTTGTTTTTACGTTGTGTATTTTCTAATAATTTATTTCTAAAATAAACGATATGCATATATGTATGATATTTCAAATGTGGCAGAAGTTCCGTTTTATTTCATTCACGATTAAAGCAAAAGGAAAATGTAGATGGATAAAATCAAACAACCGCCAGAGTGTTTTACTTCGGCAATTGTAGGAATTACTATAAAGGAATGTAATTCTTAATCATCTTCAATAGTACTAATTAAAGTATCGGACTAGATTCTGAAATATTTGCGAAAGTATTAAGCGTATTGAATAAAATTTTATCTGAACATTGGATGACTTCAAGGATAACTAATTTCATCGATTCAAGGGAAGCTAATTCAAAGAAAAATATAATTTAGCTTTTTCTTTTGTAAATAAACATAAATAAACGTAATAAACGTAAAAGACACGAAGGTCAAATTTATACTTTTTAATGGTATCGTGTATCTTTTAAGTTGTTAATTAATTCAGTTTCTCGTTCTCTGCAACTAATTTATTTCAAAAAATCATTAGCAACGCAGATATTTTAATTACATAGTTGTAAAGTCTCAATGATACACCTATATCTATATTTTGTAAGTAACATAACTTTTTAGTCTCACAGTATCATAGAGGCTAATGAATCGAATTTATCAGTGTTACTTCATATGTAATTATAACAATGTTAACCTTCAATGATTATAAACACAAGAAATGAAGAATAGAGTTAGAAAATTTTATTCCAAAATCTTTGGGGCATATTTCATCCTTATTTTACCGAATAGGGGATGGAGACGAAAGGAAAATTGGAAAAAACATAAATAAATTAATAAACATATATAATTATGTATCCCATATATGTATAATTGCATGGTAATAGACTTTTTCCTTTCGATTTTACGGTTTGCATATTAATTATTATGGAATAATTGATTTTTCTCGCTTTTCTCTTCTATTCTAATAAAATTTAATTTTGCTTTTACTATTACAGATTACTTTTGCCTAAATAAGATACATATACAGTAATAGATTGTATTTGAAATATATTTGATGAAATTACCTGTTATTAAACCTTGTGTCGATTGGATCCTTCTGAACCCTTGAAATACTCAAAATCCTTATAACTTGCAGAGCTGATGTAGTTTTGTGGGAGGAATATATTTTTCTTGTTTATTGTTAAACAAAGCATAAGAAAACATAACGATATATTCACTTCCGAGGCATTTTTCTAATGATATTTTATTCATTAATTTTATAATTCTTCTAATTCGATTAAAAAATTTGGGATCATAGAATTTTTCATACTCGAACCTTTTTTGAGTTCCAAGAAGTACCGATTGTGAAATTTCGAGAATCCCACCTTTATATATATTTCTATTCATAAATTAACGTCGTATGGTAATACATGCAATATATGAAAAATTAATGTATTTCTTTCATTTCCTCGCAAATGAAAGCATAGGATTAATCTGAAGGATTTACAATTTGTAGAAGAAATGGAAATTTAGTTACTTTGACAATTTCGTACCTCTTATTCGATCATTGTTAGCTTATCATAAAAGTAATATAGATATTTTTTATGAGAAGCAGTTCTTAAAAGCCCTCATAATTCTTTACTGTTGTCTTGATTGCCATCGCCGTATTTTCGACGTTACGTCGTTCTCGTGAAATTTGATGAAAATATCATTCGTCTATACAATTCAATCAGAATGTGTCATAAATTCATCATGTCTACAGTATATTTTACTTTCTCTTTTATATATATATATATATCCAATCCTTATATATATCCTTCATTTTCCTTTCTATCCTTGTTCACCGCATCTCCTAACAAGAAATTGGCTATGCATTCTTTTTTCGTTCATGAAGAAATTTAGAATCGATAATGAGAATGAACAATATAAACACACCAGGAACTGACGAAGCTGTAGACCAATGTAACACATCGGGGAATCAATACAACGGTCAATCGTTATAACACTTCAAACATTTATACGTCGTTAATCGAATCAGTTCTGCAACATCGGCACGTACCAGTATGTTTGAAACGATACATCAATTTACATCGTACTTTATCAATTTAATTCGTTAACACGATTAAATAGTAATGAGCTTTCACATCGTTAAGTTAATACGAGGAAAGTTTGGAAATACGAGATAACACATGATATAACGTGCAAAGAATGTAACACGTATTATCGTGCCAACAAAATACTATTAATCCTTTGAGTATTACGTTTCATTACTAAAAGTCTATTCCACGGTGGAAATAATTTTTTAAAGCACTACAAACATGTAACTATTAAAATGTAATAATTTACCGAAGACAGAATTTAGCATGAAACTAAACGAGATATGTACACAAGCAGACAGTTGATTAATATGATAAATCAACTCAAGATCTAGACTAGTCTAAGTCAGCATATGATATAAACATCGAGATATACAAGATACTTCTTTGTATCATAAGAAATGAGCGAGACATTTCAGAAGCTAGATTCAGTTTCGACAGCTGTGAATTGAATTTAATCGTGACATGTGCATACGGTATAAATACTCAAAGGGTTAAGAATCATGAGTACTTTTTACTAAACGCGTTTAGTTGGCAATCTGTGAGTTATTAGCCTTGTTGTCACGATTATTTCAGAAACAAAATAGCAACTTGATCAGTCTCTATCAAGGTACGAAAGATGGAAAAAATAAAATACAATAAAAAAGAATAAAAGTAAAATAGTTGTAACTGTACATTTACATAGGTTTTGATA